TTCATTCTATCTCACTTCCCTTGATCTCCAACAAGGTGCTCTACTTTCGCACATCAAACGCCTTCAAAGAGTGGAGTATGTAGTGAGTAAAATCAGCACGCATAACACCCACGTAACAACAATTGCTGCAAACGCTACTGAAGGCGAATTGCTTTCGCACATAAGACGCCTTCAGAGAGTCAAGTATGTAATGAGGTGAAATCAGCAAGCACAACACATTCGTAACAACATTTGCTGCAGACGCAGCAGAAGGCGAATTTTTAAGTTTGAAAAAAGAGTATGATAGGAAGTCTGCATGCAACGAAAGGGTATGTGTTCGATCACCATGAATCAAAAGGAATATAAAAACGTGAATCGCTCTACGTGAATCGATCGCCACCGATTTAATGGAAAAATGAATAAAAAGTCGGATCAGAATCAGTATAAAACGTGCAGTTACTATGAAAATTTCAAATTGCGATATTCTGAAAATAGGATCCGCCAAGATTTTGATTTTTCACGATTTTAAGTCTTCACGTGCCATAAATTCACCCCCTGCAAACCGTTTTTGGGTATATTTTTTCCGCTTTTTCTTCCTCTTTTTTGGAGGGGCTCCAAGACCATTGTGTGCGGTGAGTCAATCAAACCCGCGGGCAACGCGACTACCTCCTACGGGTCAATTCTTGAATCTATATCGAATAACCTGCATCGATAAACTGCATTGCTTAGATAGGAATCTATCGATTAAGATCACTCGATACAGTGCCGTGGCGTGAATGATTGATTATCGATATTTCTCCATTAGAAGCTGTGGCAAAGAATCGATTATAAAGGTGTTCGCTGCGAACACCCTGTTTATCGATCCTTTTCCATAGGTTTGAATGACAGATCTATCGATATATCGCAAAGCACGCCACGCCACTGATTCAATATCGATTCGACAATCGACCCGCAGTTATCGTAAAATCACCCTCATACGGCATACGCAATGGGGATATTGGGTAACGCATGTAATTATACCCCTCGGACTCTCCCCCCTTCAACACAACTTCTCTATAATTATGTCAAATTGCCCAGTCGACGATTTGAAGAAACACTCAACCTCAGCTCCTAAATTTTTATCCTGCACTACTGAAGTCCCATTCCACTACATTACTTTTAAAAATAGTCGAAAAAAGGAGAGAACAGTATGTTGTTCCGTTCAAGATTAAATGGAAGGAGGAAAGAAAAGGAAATGGCGAGTAACAGAATGGTGAAAGAAACGTCGTAGGTATACGGATGTCCCCTAATAAAATACAGAAGTTATGTTGGTTTTTAATTCTACTCTTTTATCCGCATCGGTTAAATATCTAGTCGTTGCTTTTTATGAGGTTCCTATATGGACCGCATTTAGCAGAAGGGAACCAAGCCTTATTGGACATTGCCAAATTTACCTGGGCAATTTAATTTTTTACTAGAGAACGTTCGCGCGGACTCATAGAAAATTTTAAGGAATTTGCTTTATACGATGAAGAAAATTCACTGAAATTTGCACAGAATTCCGCTCAACCGTTTCATGTAAAGAATTAAATTGCCCAATAGCTGATGTGGCTTGGTTCGTTTCTGCCTAACGCGATCCCATGTGTAAAAGAAAATGCAATTCAAAGTTGAATTTCACCCAAGTCAATCAAATGGGAAAATATCCAATCCAAAAATTATTCTAGTGACTCAAAGCGGCTGTTCAGTTGTCCACCTATTTCCGTGGCCCACCGATTCTCTCTCTTGCTATCCAATCCATTACTTTCTATTCTATTCCTCTCTCTGTCCTTCTTATTTCTTCCATTCGCTTTTCATAGTTAGACGAGTGCGCTCAAATTGTGCACAGAGCATTTGCATAATCGCAAAAAAGGCCCGGATTTAATAAAATTGCTTCTTCATTATGAGTGGTACGCAATCTGAAAATCGTAATAATTTTATCGCCACTTTTGCTTCCATCATAAGCGGGCTTCTTTTATTGAAATTGATCTCATAAAATTGAAATTTTTAGGTCGAATTATTTAAATATTTTCTTACAGTGCGATCCGCTCATCTTTCTGATACATGAAACTCATTCATTGATTATTTAAAACCGTGCACTTATTAACTAGATGAGGTAAAAACATTAAAATTTCATGGTAAGAAAAACTGTTTCATTTTACTGCATTAAAGTGCAACTCGATTTCAATGTTTTCGTTGCTATATTTTCCTCTTCGGTAATAGCACTTAGTTTCTTAGAAGCTAAATGTGGTCAGAAATCGAGTGACTACTACCATGCTTACTTTACGTGGCGGGTAGCTGATCATCGCCGTCGCGTCGCCGAAGTAGCTTTTTGTAATGATGCGACTTATTCAAACGAATAGTTTAGTTTACTACACTAAAATTGCAAAAATTACCTCGCACGCACAACGTGAGTGCACTCAGTTTGGAAGAGGAAGTTACACGTGAACACTATGCACATAGTTCCTTTTAGCATAAATACGTCCATTTAAGGATGAGTGATTATTGCAATACCAGCATAGCGACTCCTCTGGGCCGGATTTTGCCTATCTCCTGAATTGAAGGCGAAACATCAGCGGATAATCAGCAGCGACAGTGCGAGCTGAGAACACATAAACTAATTCGACATTTTTATGGATGAACTGTACTTCCGAATTGCCTTTTAACGTCCCAAGGAAGTTAATTTATTGGCGAAAAAAAATGTAAGACTGAACATTTACAATTACCTTGATTTGGTAACGTATTCCTTCTGTAGGATCTTTTTTCTTTCCATTTACTTAAACCTATGTAATTTTCTTCAAACTTTAAGGCACCGAGGCTGTAGTATGGGATCAAATTGTTTAACTTGTTTCGCTTTGCCGTACTCTCGGAGGAATGCCTGTTGGCATTAAACATAGGTAAGTATGTATATTTCAGAAATTCTTTGTAGGTATACTCTATGGTTTCAAGCACCCTATCTTAACTTTCGCCCAGTTGGGCGGAAAAAGCGTGTGTCACAACTTAGTGTGTAACTCGACCATAAACGTAATTTCTCAACATACGACTTGCGGGGTTTTTTTTTCGGTAAAATAGTAAAGGATGAAATAATACCTGATTTTGATCAAAGTATAAAATGCGCAAATTTCCAAAGTTTAGTAATTGAAAAAAAAAATGTCCTTTTTTGGGAGCATTTTTGGGGAGAGAACGGGTGGGGGAATGCTGTTATTCATCCTTGTTTAAAAAATGACTCAATTTTATTTTATTGAATAATATTCAGACAAAACCGGATGCAAAAATCGTCAACCGGTTTGGATATCTACAGCTCTTTTTAAATTCTACCCCTGCTCCTCGTCTACCTCATGGAAAAAATTAGAAACCCCCTGGTAAAAATTGGCAGTAGAATCTATGTTCCAAAATACCATAGACCTACAGCCGGCTGTAAGATTTCCAATAGCTTCTATAGCCGGCTACACAATTTCTTATAGCCTTTTATAGCCGATGGCGACTAAGCAACAGCCAGGCGATAAAGTGTATGCGAAACGTTACTAATTACGGATACTAGGACTTAGTGAGTTTTTGGACCACTGCTCTCTTTTATAGCCGTAGTATCTTGGTTTATTTTGCCAGAAAGCTCCGTACTTTTGATGGATGCCTGCCATTCCTAATATATTATAGCGCCTTCAGTTTCGTATGATACTGTGCAATACCTCTGGTGTGAAATAGCTGCTTCAAGCGCCGTGGCTCGCTGCGGCGCGGCAGGCGGGCAGCCAGCGCGAAACGCGCTGGCGCCTACAAACCTAACAGGGATACTTCANTTTTGAAAAAAGTTACAGGGGTGGTCAGTGACTTTTGGATAACCCTGTATTATAGCGCCTTCAGTTTCGTATGATACTGTGCAATACCTCTGGTGTGAAATAGCTGCTTCAAGCGCCGTGGCTCGCTGCGGCGCGGCAGGCGGGCAGCCAGCGCGAAACGCGCTGGCGCCTACAAACCTAACAGGGATACTTCACGCGTTGCGCAATGCGTGAAGTATCCCTGTTAGGTTTGTAGGCGCCAGTGCGTCGCCGCTCTGCTTTGTGTTAGGCTCTAATATCTAATCTGGCGGAGTCAGCGTTATTCAACTCATGATTTTGAAATGTTTGCACATCCTGTATGGATTATTCTCATTTTAATTGATGAAAAAAAATATGTATTTAAGGAAAATATAATGTGTGTTTTGTAAATATTAAGGTGGTTCCGTATCAAACTTCATAATTTCCAAAGCACACGAATTTCTACACAATTTCTTATAGCCTTTTATAATCGACGGCGAAAAGGCAACAACCAGGCGATAAAGTGTAAAGCCCGGCGATAGGAACTATAGCCCGGCTGCATAATTTTTTATCGCTTCGTATAGCCCGGCCGTATGATTTTCTCCGCATTCTACAGCCAGCTATATGATTTTCTGTAGCCTTCTTTAGCCGGCTATAAAAATTCCTATGGTATTTTGAAACGCAGCTCTTATCGCCAATTTTTACCAGGGCCTCGCAGAGCGAAAGTTTGGTAGGTATCTAAATGACTTTTGGCATGTACTTACAACTATCGAAATTTAAGTACGAACTCCAGGTCAAAATATACGGGTAAGAAATGCCTTTTATGATAATGATGGTGATCTTTTTTAACTGTTCTTATTTACGGAGAATAAAATGCCGTGAAAGTATTCCTGGGAAATCTTGTTTGCGATGCAGCTTCCTGCATTCAATTTTCCTTCATTTGAGAGGGTAGGCAATATCCTGCGGCGAAGCAGCGGTGTCCCATCGCTAAACAGATTAAGTAATCCCGCAAAAATCAGAAACTTCTTAATAAATAATACATCAATGAATTTGCGCAGTCTCTCTTTTTGAAATAATGCATAATGCAATTACTTTTAAAATGATTAGTGCATTTGTTTGCAGCGCTGGGAATGGGAACCAGTTTCCCAGTGATCGCCACCGTTGCTCTATTTCTGTCAGTCAGCTGATGCATCTGAGCGCTGCTGTCTCCGTACTCGTAATATCGACGCCATTGTTTTCAATGAGTGAGTCAGTGACTTCACTCCACTTCAATCGCGTTGGAAATCGGCTCTTTTTGGTGAACGAAGATGTGTATCACTGGGAGTGGGACGTAGGAGCCATTTTAAAGTAATTTTGTAGAAGATAGGTTTTGTGATAGTGTTATCTTTCAGGATGTTATGAAGTGTTTCTTATCATAGATATATTTTTGTACGAATGAGAGAGAAGTCGTAGAAATGACCGATCGTGAAATCGCTGCTGAAGACAGCATCAAAGTTGTCTGTAGATTCAGACCTTTGAATGATTCAGAGGAGAAGGCAGGATCCAAATTTATCGTCAAATTTCCTTCTGGTGGAGATGAAAACTGCATCTCTATCGGGGTAAGTTTTGTAGCTCTTTTACATCACCAATGTGCATTGTCAAATGCTTACCTCCTTGTGAGCATGCACTTTAATTACCTGAAAAGGTCCTGGAAATTACCAACCCTTGTCACCTGTTACATTCTACTTCGGCTACTCTTTGAAAATACATTCTATTTACTTGTGAATGGGTTTCTCTTCTCTTAAAATTCGTTCTAATTCACTTCATACTCATTCAAGCGATACTAGCGATTACTGGTCATTACCCTATGTGGGATCTGTTCCGCTGGAACGCACACAGGGTTCAATTTTTTGGAAAATGCCAGTCCTTTATTCTCTGTTTTCATTTTTACTACACAATCCTTCTGAAATTCCAAGATTTAAGTATCCTCTTGGGAAATTTCCAATCGAAGTTAGTCCGTATATCTCCTTGATCAAACAGCCCTTGTGATTCTTATGTAAGGTTGGCGAGGCCTCGTAATACAGCAGACTATTTCAGATACAGCAATCCCCCCCAGAGTCTGTAGTTGTTATATTCTCCCTTAAAACAGATCTTTTCTCTTTAATCATAACTGACAAATGCTAGGAAATTGATCATTTACGGGAACATGAGCTGAGAAGTTACCTTTTGGCTGGTCAGAGGTTAGGATCTCTCTCCTGCTCCTGTCTGATCAATGAGTTGATGTGATGCATTACTCTGTCATTAAATGCTCTGAATAAAGCACCAGAACTTTTAAGAATGAAAATTCACGTCGTATACATGAAGCAAATGTAACTCCTTATGGTAACAGTAACCTATTAAGTCATGGGAGGTATCAGTCTGAAACGCTGTGCCTTGAAATATGTTTCACTGTAGGTATTTCGGATGAAAAACTTGACTTTAAGTATGAGTTTCCCACTCAGAAATGTTTTCAGTACTGCTGGGCATTGAAGGTCTGAACTTGGTGAACTGCCCTGCGGTACTAATATGTTTAATCAAGTACCTAGTGGAAGGGACGCTGAACACTGTGTCTCCTTATCAGTTGCTGCCCTGTGTCGTTCCGTTTCCTGACTCCTAAGGTGTCAAAATACTGTTAGTTAATAACAGAAGCTCATCTCTATTTGTGTGATTATTTTGGGAACCATCCATCTTTTTTCTGTTATGATGGATCTCCTTAAATTACATCTGTTTCGAGCATTTTTGCCCTTTCTATGTCTGATGTCAAAGTAAGTCGCAACGTATTATGTTGATGTCATCAGGTGTACTCAATTCCACACTTGCTCGCATGATCGCACTTGTAACTTCGTCAGCCGGCAGTCTTTGTTTTGATGGTTTTCAGAATCTGCTCTTCACACATCTCACAGTACACTAACCCTTGAGAGCAGGGTTGATAGTGACTGGAAAAATTGAAAAACATCTGATTGTTCCGTTATTCATTTAAGTATCTTCTAGAAAATTGATGGAACGTTATGAAAACGTTGACTAAAAATTGCACTAATTGCATCGATGTTTAGTTGCATTTGCAAGAAACATATTCTTCGTCAAATCAAAGTTTTTACTGAAGGCAGGTAGAAAATAAATGTGCAACCTCCCCCATTTCCCATCTCAAATTTGTTTATGCCTCTGTCCTACCTAAAAGAAGAACTCAAAGATAGAAGGACATAGGAAGAATAATTAAAAGTTGCTCTAGCCATGGCATGAGACCATTAATTAACTCCATATCCTTCAAACCGTGACTGCTCTAGAGACTCATGGCACGGGTCAGTGCCTCCTGATGCAGTTATTACCTGGTTCCTCTCTCCCTCGGTCTTCTTATCCTTCTTACAAGCTTTCTGAAAGTCTACCCTTTTCATAATTTTTTTGTCCCTGTTATGTATCAATGAAAACTTGCCTTCAACTTTATTTTATTATCTTAAAGATAACTATTTTGAGAAATCAAGAAATTTCCAAAAATCAAAAAAAAAAATTTAAGTATGAAGATAAAAAACTGAAGTTTTAAGGACTGTCAAATAAAGCTTGCGGTTGTCGACGTGTGCAGCATGATGCATAATTTTACAAATAAACATAATATATCACAAACTCAACTGTTAACTTCAATGGCTAGGCAGGCACTTATTTTCTTCAGTTATCTTTAGACTATTGGATAAATGCAAAAATTCATGATCAGAAAATACATTTGGAAAAAACAAAACCTTGCACTGGTCATCTTGAAGTTTACTTTTGTAAATTCTCTGTTTATCTAGCAAAATTTTATTTTGAAGCCACTCAAATGGGTTTTTTTATTTTTTCAGGGTAAAGTTTACCTGTTTGACAAAGTTTTCAAACCAAATGCTACTCAGGAGAAAGTATACAATGAAGCGGCCAAAAGCATCGTTTCTGGTAAGAACACTATCATTATTTACTAAATAAATGCCCTGCGTGGCCAAATTTATCATATAGCTGCATCCTAGGGGGAAGGTGTGGTTTATTTCTGTACTGAGTTCCACAGGATGGCAAATTTTGATGTGTCTATCCATGAAAATAATAAGTTTATTCTAATTTGAATCGATAGCTTTCGAGTTTTTTCTTATGAGTGTAACCTTTCAAAAAGGTTAAGCCTCTAGCCAGTATAGTATTTACGTCACAGAACCAACCCGAGTAATTTTTGAAAATCCTTAGCAGATATGACTGGTTTGCTTAGCGCTAATCATACATGCTGTTCAAAAATATATTTCATTTTTATATATTTTTGCGTATGGACCGCTGATATGTCTTTTAAGTATTTATTTCCTTTTTCTGGCATTAGCATTATTTTTTGTGAGACCTAATGTGTTCCTTTTCCTTTTTTAGATGTCCTATGTGGTTACAATGGAACCATTTTTGCCTATGGTCAAACTTCGTCCGGTAAAACGCACACGATGGAAGGAGTCATTGGAGATCAAGGAAAACAAGGAATTATTCCACGCATAGTGAACGATATTTTTAATCACATTTATGCAATGGAAGAAAATCTGGAATTCCACATCAAAGTTTCCTATTTTGAAATTTACATGGATAAAATTAGAGATTTATTAGATGTATCGAAAATAAATTTAAGTGTTCATGAAGATAAAAATAGAGTTCCTTTCGTCAAAGGTGCTACTGAACGGTTTGTCTCTAGCCCTGATGAAGTATTTGAAGTAATAGAAGAAGGTAAAGCGAATCGGCACATAGCTGTGACAAACATGAATGAGCACTCTTCAAGAAGTCATAGTGTATTCCTTATAAATGTAAAACAAGAAAATTTAGAAAATGAAAAGAAATTATCTGGTAAACTATATCTTGTCGATCTTGCTGGAAGTGAAAAAGTAAGCAAAACTGGTGCTGAGGGTACAGTGCTAGACGAAGCTAAGAACATCAATAAATCTTTATCAGCTCTTGGAAATGTAATTTCTGCTCTTGCTGATGGAAACAAAACTCACATCCCTTATCGAGACTCCAAACTTACTCGTATCCTACAAGAATCCCTTGGAGGTAATGCAAGAACAACCATTATAATTTGTTGTTCACCTGCCTCTTTCAATGAATCGGAAACCAAATCAACGCTAGATTTTGGACGGCGTGCTAAGACTATTAAGAATGTCGTAACAGTGAATGAAGAGCTCACAGCTGAAGAATGGAAGCGCCGATATGAGAAAGAAAAGGAAAAGGCTGCCCGGTGGAAAGGCAAGTGTGAAGCTCTTGAGTACGAATTGAACAGATGGAGGCAGGGAGAAACTGTCAAAGAAGACGAACAAGTCAATCTCCAAGAACCGTTAGATGTGTTAACTCCTGTTGCTCCTACTCCAGAGGCAAAGAAAGACTTGCTTCGTGGACCAGTACCCGCTACACCTGGTATGGGCTTAATGATCGGCTCTTTGAGCAATGAAGAAAGACAGAAACTGGAAGAAGAAAGAGAAAGATTGTATCAACAGTTGGATGACAAAGATGAAGAAATTAACCAACAGAGTCAGTATGTCGAAAAACTCAAAGATCAGATCATTGATCAAGAAGAACTCCTGTCCTCAACTCGCCGTGACTATGAATTGTTGCAACAAGAAATGAGCCGATGCACTCAAGAAAATGAGAGTGCCAAAGAAGAAGTGAAGGAAGTCCTGCAAGCTCTTGAAGAGTTGGCTGTCAACTATGATCAAAAGACTCATGAAGTAGAAGCCAAAAATAAAGAAAATGAAACCTTGACCGAAGAGCTCGCTCAGAAACAGTCCGCTTTGAACAGTGCTTTGTCAGAACTGCAACAACTGAAAGATCAATCTTCCCATCAACGTCGTCGAATGACAGAAATGTTGAGCAACTTGATGAAAGATCTGGGAGAGGTAGGAATTGCTATTGGAGGTGACGGGGAATTGAAAATGGTATCTGATGGCAGTGGAAAAGTTGAAGAAGAATTCACCGTAGCGAGACTTTACATTTCTAAGTTAAAGTCTGAAGTGAAAAATCTAGTGTCACGCCTCCAAAGCCTGGAATCAAGCCAAACTGATAGTAATAAGAAAGTTAGTGAGTACGAAAAAGATCTAGCAGAGTGTAGGCTCCTTATTTCGCAGCATGAGGCAAGAATGAAGTCTTTGCAGGAATCAATGCGTGAGGCTGAGAATAGGAAACGCCAGCTGGAAGAAAATGTTGACACATTGCGAGAAGAATGTGCTAAAATGAGAGCTGCAGGTGGGTTTAGAAACTCAATTTTATTCTAACTTGGTTTTTTTACTTCCGTACATATCCCTATATTAGAGGCCCATGCCGTAAATAACTTTTTTTAGGGGTACAGGAAAAACTTTCCCTCCAAATTTGCTAGAAACCCTTAAAAAAATCAGGCTGCTGAATTTGTTGCATTTTCAGGGATTTTACCGAAAGAAAAACAGTTTTTGCAGACCAAAAAATGGCTCTTCTATATTATACGTCCAACATTTTTCAATTCCCCCCCAGAGATGTGTTCTTAGCATTATTGACGCATCCCCAAGTACGATATATCCGTTGCAGTATTTCAGGCTAACAAACAAAATTTGACTCAGCATAAATTTTGTGTAACTTGGTATCTAACGCCTCAATGAAAACGGCAGAATCAAACAAACTAAATGATATGGAATATTCACTACATTACTTTACTGCAAATCGTATTTCTCAACCAAACATCTATACTATCATTGAACGCACTATAGAGTGACAGAAGTTCAAGAAATTTATTTTAAGCAAATCAGAAACAATCAGTTGATCTGTCAACTTTCAAATCATTCTCAACAGTTGAGGTTCTTTCCCATGATTTCGTTAAGAAATGATATTCGTAGTCTTTCAAGGGCTACTTAGGCACTTGAGTAATTAATCAAATTGAAGCTTCAGAATAATTCTGCTCAATATATTTTATTTAAAAGATAACTATCAATCATCAATTGCATCACTGAAGATGTTGTTTCTTTTTCAGAACAAGTCCATGCTATGTCATCCAAAGAAAAAGCTGAAGAAAAGGAGAAAGAAAATACAATGCTGGTGGCGCTGGAAGAGCAAATGGATCAGCTCAGAGATGTTCATCATAAGCAGGTTGCAGAATTAAGGGATGAAATAGTAGAGAAGCAATCGCTCATCAATGAACTGAAAGAGTAAGTCATCAATTCAATTTCATAGGATTTTTGAATGATTTTTCAAGGTCAAGAAATAAGACTTATGGCAGTATTACAGACATCATATGTTTGAAAGATTCAGCAGGGACTAAACTTTGTTATTAATGAAGTATTAGGCAATATGCAAATCTAAGCATTATGATATTTGTTTTCTTAACAAAATTCTACTTAGAACTTGATATGTAAAATGATATACTTGATATACAAAAATTACTGACAGGAACTCCCAACAAAGATTTCAACGTTTTAAATAAATCAATTTAAACTTCCCGCTCTTCAAAAAAATCGTAATCCCCCCCAAGTTTAATCGCTCATGAAACCCCACTGTGACAGTCGTAGAATTATGAAATTAAAACATCTTAAATGTGTATGCTGCACTTCAGCAATTGCACTTTGTTTACACTTTGAACAATACAGGGTAGAGAAGAAACATAGCTCTGTCAAGGACCCTGCTGAAACCTCAGTATTGTGTTTCGATTCAAGTAAACTCTAGTATTTCATGTGAGGGGGAAATTCAAATTTTGGTAAACTATGAAGCAGAAACACCCATTAGAATGCTTAGGTTCATACCTCGTCTAGCAGTCTATTGATTTTATATTTTTGAAGGCTTTCTGAGATTGCCATTCTTTAAAATGAGAATTTCTGTTTGTGACAGTTTTCAAAAAACTAAGGTCCCAAAGGGAATTCGTTAACCCTTTTACACACACTTTGTCGCAGCACTTTTAGGTCTTTGATCAAAGAAAACTTGTTCTTCCTGGCAGAGAAGATGAGCCAGATGCTGTTTTTTCTTAAAATTGTAATAATCATTCATTCATGATAGAACAAATTGGTTGCGTACATTTTTAGACACCGCAACACTGATACGCTATTGTACTTGCAGCATTTTCTTTTATTGAACAGCAGTACCATCGATCTCTATAACTATTCTTAAACTAATAGCCAGTGCCGACGTCATGACTGCTAGTGGATTTGATACTACCAACAATCAATCGGTTGGTTCACCTCAAAATTCTTTGATACCAGCCAATGGTCCACTGGTGGATCAACCTAACCTCAAAATAAACAATTGATATGAGGCAACTGTGTTCTTAAATGGCTACTTTTTGGTGTACCATTGGTGGATTCGATGATCAATAAAAAGAAATCCTTGTAGCGGCAGACGAAATTTTAATCTGTGCATAGTAACCACTAATCACACTAGTAGTGTGGATAACCGGGTTTCTCCAATAGTCTTAAGGATGTTCCTTTGGATCGATACTACAGGCACATATGTATTATTGAACTCCAATGAAAGAAGTATTGCAGCATGGTAAGAACTTACAAATATTTCATTGTTGATCAGCTTCTCTTTTTTTTACCTTGTGATTCATCATAATTTTCTAATGCTTTTCCAGTATGAATCAGAAGTATCTTTTGGCTCATAAACAAATTCAGCAGGAGTATGAGCGCCTCAAGCAAGATGAAACAGAAAAGAGTAACAAACTCCAGGAACTCATGTAAGTTATAAATTGCATTTTTAACAAAATTTCTAGCCAAGATTCCCACAACAAATTGTTTTTTCTCAGCAATATAAACACTAGAATCAAAGAGAGCATAAATATAGATTTTGTCAAAGAAAATTCATTTGGAAGCAAGGAGTACCGTCATAACTAAGTTTTAAGTCATTAAGTATGATAGTAACCAAAGGTAAAGGAATTTAAAAATCGTGAGACTTTACATTTAGACTTAAATCTAGATAATGCAATAAATGTTTCCATTATGATAGATAGTAATTGACTATGTCTAGCAAAATAAACATCAATGTGTTGTTGTGAGTCAACCTCCAATTCGACAAACTCTGGACAAACTAGCACACAGACCCAGGAGTACTTCACTCCTTCAGTTTCTTTAACCATTAGGCAAGAACCAAGCCATAATTAGTTCATAGAATTATTCAAACCAAATTTCCTAACCTGTTGAGGGAAAAGCATGTAGGGAACGTTTAACATGTTCTGAAGCCCTATACAATTTCTTCCGCGGACCGAAAACATGAAGGCTTCAAGTGGACTTTCGAGTCAGCTATTAATTAAATTTTACACAATTGCGGTTATTTTTTTGTTAATTTAACTACACATCGATTATGTCGAATTATTTTCATGAGGCACTCAGTTTCTGATATCATCTGTTATTTTATATCCCACAGTCTTACCAATGAAAGAAGAGAGCAAGCTAGAAAAGATCTGAAAGGTCTTGAAGACACTGTAGCCAAAGAATTACAATCTCTTCATAATTTAAGAAAACTATTCGTCCAAGATTTGCAAGCTAGAATTAAGAAGGTAAGTTGTATCAGTTACTGTAATTTACACAATCTTTGTTAAGTCAAAAATATTGAAGGTGTACTTGAAGACTCTTCATCAATATTGGGATAGATGTCAAAAAGTTGACTTGGAGATATTCACATCTGTATATTTAAAAGCTACTGCAGAAGAACATACTGCTCACACTATCTTTTGGGCGTTAAACACAGTACTGTATTGTTGTGCGTTCTTGGTCCATTATGCAGGATATATGTTTTCGACTTCAGTCCTGCAAAAATGTATTGTCTAACTCAATTTTCGATTATATATTACCTCACCTTTCAATGATAGTAAGTCTTCACTTATCAAAGTCTGCTTGCGCTCAAAGCCAGGTAACGCTACAACTCCAATATCCATTGACCAAAAAATATCATTTTTTTTACTTAACTTCAAAAGAAAATTTTCGGTTCAGAAGGTTGACCGCTACAAACTGCATTTTAAGGCACTAGTTCCTCAAATGTGTTGTGGATCCATAGGAATCCGTAGAAAGGCATCACAGGGTCAAAATGCATTCTTGGACATGCTTTTCGACGGTGTAAGTCGGCAATCACATAACTCGTTTAGTCGTTTTCAGTGTCTGAAAATCTCTGGCTCCATATTATTTTTTTAAAGGAGAACAAATTGATATCATTCCTTGAAGTTTTTGCAGAATTTTCCTCGCACCAAGAAGCAAAATCACGGCAGTTTTAAAGAGTTGCCGTTGAGTAGTTTCCCGCTTAAAAAATGAAGTATGACAGGAAGTCTGCGACGTCGCAAACCGAGTTATGTGATTGCCGACTTTCACCGTCGTTATGTCATTTTGAAAGTAATTAGTAATGACCCACTTCAGCTGCGTGATAGGTGGCCCTCAAAGAAATTGAAATGCTTTTAGTAAGGTTGACCCACTAATAATTCGTGTGAGAGTTATTGTCTCACAAGTATGAATTAAATTTTTGCTGAGTAATTATAATCTTTCCTCTATCTGTTTTCAGTCTGCAAGTAATGAAGAAAATGAAGATGATGGTGGCTCTCTAGCCCAGAAACAGAAAATTAGTTTCCTAGAAAATAATCTAGATCAGCTCACGAAAGTCCACAAGCAGTTGGTCAGAGATAATGCTGATCTTCGATGTGAGCTGCCAAAGATGGAGAAGAGGCTTAGAGCCACAATGGAAAGAGTCAAGGTAAGCAGTCGAAAAATTAAATTAATGTTTGAACACTCTCTTAAAACAGAAATGATTACAAAAAATTTGAACATTGTCATGTATATCACCAGTATTCCTGTGCCTTGACAGGCAGTGCAATAGTGTTTGTTAGAGCCTCTGGAACTCAGGCTTTGTATCCTGTGTCTGGTTTGCGGAACCGAAAAGTGGTTGGAGGAGGAACCCATAGAATCTGTAATTTGTACCTAAGCAAATTTCTCATCCTCAAGAGACGAGGAAAAAAAGCACCTGGAACGCACTCACTTATTATAGCTATCTATGATTTTTTGTCGCCTTTAACTTGCGCCGAAAGCTGCATAATGGTTTATTTTTTAAAATTTATTTTGTTTAAAATTGTATTCACATAGGTAATTCTCTGCGATCTTCCGCAATATAGAATCGTTCACACTTGAAAAGATATTCTTCAATTTTTCGTCAGGGAGACATGAAAATTTAATTTTAAGTACATTTATCTTATTTTTAATTATGAATGAAATCAATCAATTCAGTTGTGTAAAAAAATCGTTGTTGGTTTTAAATTCCTTTTAAAAGTTGTATTTTGATTATCAAGTTTGGAGAGTTTCGTTATATTACTTAAGCGCATCACAAGTTAGGAACAAAACCAAAATCTGAATTTTTTGCTTCTCATCCTATTAATGTCTTCCTTTAATTCTTGTTTATTTTTAGGCTCTTGAAACAGCCCTGAAAGAAGCCAAAGAAGGTGCAATGAGGGATCGTAAACGATACCAATATGAAGTGGATAGAATCAAAGAGGCTGTCCGTCAAAAGAATCTTGCCAGAAGAGGCCCTGTCCCTCAAATTGGTAATATATTCTTTCTGACCTATGTTGAAGCTTTTCTCAGTTTGCTAGTTTTACTTAATAGAGGAAGTATTAACCTTTTTAGCCCTAGATTAGGGCCAGCAGAGTGTGCACCCACGGCCTAGGTTAGGAAAGGGAAATCTAAGGAAATGCTACGGTCTCACTAAATTGTCTGTATCTCGCTTATTTTTGCATAAAATGGCTTGAAATTTTCAGGATTTGTACACAAGGGATGCAGAATTGACAATCTTTCATAACTTTTTTTTTTAGGTGTGTTGAAAAAAGAAATATTAGCTAATTTTTAAAAGCAAATTCAAAATGTGCACTGAAAAAAAAACTCCGGCCGTGGAAGCCGTGCTTACGGGCTATATAGACCTACCGTCCGGGTTCCGGGCTCAGAGGCTGAAAGTTCCAGGCGTAACACACGGGGGAATTGAAGCTACGGATCCAGCACCCGGAACTTTCGGTCTCTGAGCCCGGAACGGCCGGTATGTCTATATAGCCCGTAACTTTTTTTTCAGTGTGGAAGAAAAAAAAAATGGAAACTCGTTGTGTGGTCTTTTTCACATACAAATATAGAAATTTATGCACACAATTCAAGGGCTAGTCGTATAAACTTGTTAAATTCAAAATATGAACACAATAGGAGGTAAAGAGCAAAATTTATAACCTTTTAAAACAATGTAAATTAAAGAGCTAAAGTTACCAACTTCTAGGCAAATGCTGTTGTTCTACTTAATTGCTTGTATCTCACTTATTAATACATGAAATGAGTCGAAAATATTGGGAATTTTACCTAGGGGATAAAGAATTGATAATCTGCTGCTAAAATTCATTCAGCTGTGCTGGAAAAAAAAATTTCCTAAATTTAAGAATTTTTCTCTAATAATTGGAAAGGAAAAAAGGTAAAAACCATTTTTACCTTAAACCCGAGAATACTCGGGAGTAGACCCCGGAGGTGCGCGCGCGTAGCCCGAGAATACTCGGGAGTAGGGCCCAACAGGTTAAGATGGTTTAGCTTCTACACTTTGCTAAATATTATCATCTAATATAAAAGTAAAACGAGACATTAAAGAAGAAAAATGATGGTATGATCAGTGAAGCTGAAGGTTGTTTCAGGGGTGGCTCAAAATTCGAAATCTACTTTTAAATACTTAAAATAGGTAATATCGTATGGTGAGGAACATCCAACATGTTTTTCAGGAAACCAGGTGTGAGCCTTCATCAAAACACTTCGTCTGGTCATAGGTTTTTGTTCGTAGTCAGCAACCATGCCATACACTGAACGTCAGGATTGTATGCCAATTTTATTTGCTGTCGTGTAATGGTCAAACAGAATGCAATCATGAGTATCTCAGTCATTCGTGCTGGGGGGGGGGGGAGGAGGCTCAAGACATTAGAGAAATATGCAGAGTATCTCTGTTAAGGCATCTTCAATTTTAAATGGAAAAAGTTAGTTGCTGTCAGTGTATCAATTCATCTAGAGTTATACCAATCAATTGTGGAACAAGCAAAACAGAGCGGAGTATCAAACATGGTGCCTTAAAATAATACCGTGACAAAGCCTTAATTTATATTGCATTGTTATTTTGTTAATTTCTCAATGGCTGTCATACCAGAAATCTGCATGGTTCTCGAAAGTTTGGCTTCTAGGCCTATGTTGCTCCTAAAACTGTATAGTGAAAATTCAAAACTGGTTATAATTTATCTTCTCAATATTCCATGAAAAAAATCATTCTTTTCATTTCCTGCTTTAATGTCAAAATTTAATTAAAATTTTATTGAATTTCAGTCGCATATTTGAAAAAACCGCTGCACCTAGGGTGCAGTATTGTAGGATAGAATCCACTCCAAATACATTTATCCACTTCATGAGTGCCACTGAAAATCTTATGTCATAATTTTTTTATTCGTATTCTTAATTTCCTTGTTAAAATGAAGGCCTTTTTAAATTTGCAAGGTTCTACATCTGGAAGCAGATAAAAAATAATCTACTTTTCAGAGGTTGCGTTATAAAAGGCTGTTTTTAATTACTCCATGGCATTTTGAAACGGTTTGAAAAGTCAACAAATATTTTCATAAGCACACTCCATCCCGAGAAAGTATTCTGCAAGTCGATCAGATGCAGTCCTCTCAACCAAGAGGAAAAATGTGGGGTGCCACACACGGGAGGGATGAGGCGCCCAAAAGTGAGGCTCTGCTGCGCGCGCACGTCGCATGTTTGGATTGTAATTTCGCGGCAGATTCGAACCCAAGGGGCGAGTTCCATAATACATTCTTCTCAAATGCACAGTATTAAGCTTTTATTCATTGGATTTATGTCTACTTTTTTAGAGTAAAATAATGTCTGCATTTTGAANCTCCCGTGTGTGGCACCCGAAAAATGTGTGCTTTATACAACATTGGGGGTGATGTAGGTTAACCGCTTGTTTTTATTTGTCAAACATACTTTTATTTTATTTCTGGGCAGTTAGGTAATAGTGGTTATTTGGTGTTCTCTGGAGATCAAACTTTTAGCATAATCTGATTCAAGTATTTCTTCACATCATTCCTTAGGTTATATTTCACCCTTCTATTCAAATGATAAAATGTGCTTCTTTTTTTCCTCAGCCAAACCCATTCGAGCTGGTCAGCATCCCAGTATTATCTCCCAAAATACTCCCAGCAGGCTTACATTGGATGAAGAAATGCGGCGAAAGAAAATAGTCTCATCTGGCAACAGAAAAGGTATGATTCCTTCCTCTAATTTTACCTCACTAACCTAAAAACAGTGTTTACTGGTTTGTAATGTGCATGCTGACTTCGTGCTTACGATGAGTGGAAAAAAGCAAATCTGTGTGCACTGTTAAACTGAGAAGGAAATTGCACTGGAGCCAATTAAGAAAGCAGGAAGTATGATGAATACCAGAAGAATTTACATTCAAAACGAGGAAATGCTAATTTTACCCCAATCTTTGCTATGTATTGAAGTCCAAAAAAATTGAGGTTGCTGTAGGCTCCTCTACTTGAGTAAAAGCCTCTATAATAACAAAAAGAAGCAGAAAATTGAGGTTAAGATTTCACAATTACTGACCGTTCTAGCCCATACAGTACATGTAGTGACAAATTGTCATTGCATTTTCCTCAAATGATCAGCCAAGTCCTAATAGGTCAGTTTTGCTGGCCCTAGAATCGTGTTTTGATGGCTCGAGCTTATAGATAGTAAAAACTAGTAAGATCTGTCCAATTGCAAAGTTTCTGTCGAATATTCATCAGTTGAGATATTGCTCATCATTAAATAGGATGTATGACATCATCCACCATCGTAGCGCAGACTCTGGTTTCTTCCACCATGTTCTCATCAATCAAGGATGTGTGCACACATTTATATTGATTGCTTGACATAAAACACAGATGAAACTAAGGTGGAATAAACTACGGTATGCACCACCGCAGATGATAATGTCATACACCATAATCTTTGAAGGGCGATCCTTTTGTTAATATTTGTTGTAAAAATTGGCATTTAAACAGATCTCATTCAATTTTGCTAATCTATAACCTTATGCTACCAAAACACAATTCCTTTAATAGGGCAGATAACCCATTCTCAATCAAGGCAAATGTTTCAGGGAAAGAAAGTATGGAGATTACTACTGTATGGAGATACCTACTAGAGCAGAATATTACAGGAAAGCCAAGCCTCCTTACTTGTTTTCACCCTGCGCCTACAGCGTTTTCGAATCGACTGCATTAATGATATTCTTTTGAGATGGCAACAGTGTCATTACTGCATACCTTGCCCAGCCAAGACAAAATGTAAAATGAAACAAAAAGAAACTTTTTCTTTCCTCTTAAATTGCTGATTGCCATTGATTTTTTTAAAGCGAAAAAAATTAAATACTAAAGATAAAGTGTTACGATAAAACAATCTGAACAATCACTTATCTAATTCCCTCAATGCAGCACTCAGCTAAAAATGTTATAGTGCTACGTTTTTGACATGTGTGACTTGCTGCAGGAAATGATAAATCTCCTGTCCAATCCAACTTATTTTTTTTTTACAATTAAATTTTTCCCCTAGACATCATTATTTTCTTTTTACTGAATTCTATATTCTATCGTTTCAGATGAAAGCTGAGATGCCTCTATTCTTACATCATTGAAGAATTTGTAATGAAAAATAGTGCTCTAAAAGAATTGAATGGAAGGTGTGGCGAATCGAAGTTGAATGTGTAAAAACTGTTATCTCTAATCTATTTATATGTAAGCAAAAGCTTTTGTGATTTTACCAGCCAGCTGCAATAAGTATGCACCATTTTTTGTAACCTTTAAAGACATTTGCATAAAAACTTCATCATAAAAAAAGTAGTCATAACTTAATTTGAATGATCGGAGCAAGAAACGGTATCATTGGTGAAATAATAAAGTTTTTTAGAATACGTAAAGATAATTTTGGTGCTTTGCTGATTCTCCTTTCAAAAAGAATTTGTTAGGTACTATACTTTTTATTTTTGTATGCCCTTCTCTCTAATAACAGCATCCCATTATTAATTTTACGTTTTATTTCACTCTTAAGTTTATTATTTTCCTTATTATTATTTATTTTTTATAATTTACATAATTGATTTATGTACTTTAATTTTTATTTCTATCCCATGTTTCACTCTATCTTTCAAGCAATCATTACCTTTTAAATGGAAATATTTTTAAGTTCAATTTTAATCGTACAATTATAGGAATCAAGTTAAAATAAAATCGGTAACCTTTTTACTTTTCCCTCCCTCTTTATTTATTTAATTAATTTCATGGTATAATCATTGTTTCGCATATTTTGTTGCAATTAATTTACTTTTCACTCATTTGCATTTTCAATGCATTTTGGCAATGTTTCTTGAAAGGCAACAAGGTAGCATTTCAGCTGTTGCCAAATTTATCAGACAATTATCTTTTTTACCAAATAATATTTTTACAGATTCTCTTAAGCCAGGGAATTTGCTTTATGTCACAGAAGTACTTCATTACAACTTCCAACCAGTAAGCACTACCGTTCGCATTTTAATATGTAAGTAAATTGTCCGATTGGCAACAACTGTTGTCACTTAGTTCCCTTTCAAGAAACTAGCCCATTTATTTTTCTCTTTTTGGTTTCTAAGGAGAATTGATCATGACCACCTATTCCTAGGGATAGAAGAAAAAAGTGTAATCAAAGGAATTATGCCAAAGGTAAATTATTTCCTCTACAAACTCCTGATCATTGAAATATATAACAATTTCATAACAAGAGCTCTGCAATCCTCTTAATGGGCCAAATTTCCCATGTATCACCTCTCACTCAAAATCGGCACACAGCCTAGTAAGGTGCAGGTGGGCTTTTCTCTCAAGTTAACTAGGATTTAATGATAATTCCAGGAAATTAAACTCAAAACAGAGCAAAGAAGTGTAAGTATGTATCACTCCTGAATTGTTCATACTCTCGTCAGCAGATAATTCCCAGTAATGTCCTTGGTTCATGCAGTGTCATTTCTTTTTTCTTTCCTCAAAATTTGTTTTCTTTTTACCTGTAACTCCAATTTCTATCTCTTGGTTCCAGAGAGAGGTTTAGTCTTTCCCTTGAAATCTCGCTCTCCTTCTGGAAGAAGGAAAGTTGACGCTTTCATGAAGACTTTTAGTTTACATCTTTTCATCTCCGTTTCATTTTATTTATTCAGATCGTGTGTATTTTTTATTTTCCCTTTTTCGCTCTCTCTCTATCAAGGTTGCTGGGTCAGGGAAACTTTGGTCAAACTTCCTAATGAGATTATTTTAAAATTGTATTATTTTTGTTGACAATAGTCATAGCTATCGGTGCTTTTTTCTGGGAAACATCTCTTAGAAGAGAAATTCTTCTCCTCATGTAACTTTTTTTCTCTGGAAAGAGAATTTCTGAAAATCAGTTGATAGCATTTAAAATCTCTCACCACTTTCTAAAAAATATGTCGAAAACATGATAAAATTATCTCATGCTGATTGAACACACTCGATACAAGTGTACTTATGAGCACAAGGTCTATCGGAACTTTAGTTTAAAGGCAATTTGATTTTTTCACTCTTGCTCGACAGTCAAATATGCATGCCGAGTTTCTTAGACCATTGGGCATGAGCTCTCGTCAAGCTCTCTGTTGGTAAATTAAAAATTGTTAATTAAGAATGAAGGATATATTTGATGAAAACATTAATGAAACGGTTGTGAAACTTTTTGCCTTTATCATAGCTTCCTGTATTTTTGTATTTTTTTTTCTCTTTTTTTTTCATTTATTTATTTATTTTCAATTTATATGCAATGCAGTATTCTAAACTCGAGGAAGAAAAAGGGAAAATTCATCATGAGTAGGTCAGGAGATCGCCACTGAAGTAATAGCTCAATTAATCTGTCCCTTTAACAGAAAAATCAAGTATGGTTTTATTTCTTCAGGTTCTAACACTCGTACTAGATGTAACTGAAAGTAGGTATTAATAACCACGGAGTCCTTTTTTTTTCATTTTTTCTTTTTCAAAATCAGAAGAACAATTAACTATGTCATAATTCAAAGTGAGCTTGTATTTCAAGCTTTCATACCCTTTATAAATTATTCACATGGATTTTAAGTTAGATGATTGTCCTAGAGAAAAAACAGGTGGTGGCTGTCTCTTTTAGTACTTTCTCGCATCTCATTAACAACATTTCTTGCCTTGTAATACTTACTGCTCCAGCAAACTCATCTCTGTATTTTCTTGCGTTTCCATGTGTGCACCTTTCAACATCATTAGTATAACGGTTGAGATTAAAAGACATCTACAGTACTAATAAGGACAATCGATAGTTGACCAACCAATTAATATCGCAGACATTTCGTCTAAAAAATCTTTGGAACTTGCATCACTCTGTAATGTGTAATGTATTGCTACAAAACTCATCAAATTACCAAGAATAATTGTAAATCTGCGGCCCGAGTGAATATTCCTAACAAGGCGAGCTTTTGTTTTGCTATAGGCACATCGGCAATAGTTACTAAGTTTCTTCATGCATATTATTTTATGATCAAAAGAATATCGGTAGGTAATGAGTCTTTCAATTGAATGATGATTAGTTATAGAATGACGGAAGTAGGTACCAGAGATTCGAATCTTTCTCTTGTGGAGCGGGTTAATTTTTATTCCAAATCATCCATTTGATGTACATGAATTTCATTTCAAGTGTCAAATTAGGCAGTAAATGGTGAAAAGTAGAATATCATGAGGAGCAGTAAGAACTCAACTGCAGTCCTGAGGATTGAGCTAAGATTGAGAACACAGCGCTATTTTCTTTACTGACACCTGCGTTAGTATATTTGACACTTCACAGGTGAGATGACTCATAGTTTGAATGATCCATAATTATGTCACCTAGTTTTTCAGTGTATTGGGTATATGTTTTTGACAGATCGGATGAATGACATGTGAGAAGGTTGAGCTAAATACCTCAAAGGTCTCAAATTATATGCTGAACGTAAACCCATCAGTAAAGTGTTCTTGCCTCAGCTTAGCTAGCTCTAATTTTGTTAGCAGCTCTTTTCAAGAGTTGCATTCTACTTAGAGATGAACGAAGCGCCGTTTAGACAACATTTTTCAATCCTTTACGATGACTCCTCTTTCTTCAATGAAATATATTGGCGAAAACAAGCTTGGCCGTTTGATTTTTGTACCGCTTCAGCTTAAATGCTACTTTAACACTGTGTTCACATTAGAATGATACATGGGTATGCTAGACTCGGCTGCATGATGGATAATACCGGATACCAAAATGACAAAGAAACTGCTGAACTCTACTTAAAATATTTCTGTAAATTTTTTGGCCAAATTTTGCTTCAATATGCAAATGATTTCTCTCAAAATATTTTTTTTTAAAAATAAATGAATTTTAACCTCAAACATTGCTTTTATTATTAAATCAGAGTTGCTTGTCATAGAAACCGCAGACGCACACCTCAACTGTGCGAAGAACAATTGATGGAAAGCACTGGTCGATCAAGTTATATTTTTGCTTTAGATTAGGTTCAGTTTTTGACTCACCACCAATCACCTTAATGCAAATTAAACAACATTCCTTCCCCCACAACCTTAGATGCCCCATGTTAATCTTGATAGCAATAACCTGATTCATAATTTTCAAGCTCTACCTCCATAGTGGGTTCGGACGAAGATGGACGCTAAGAGTAGCCAATAGTCACCAAACCACAGGAATAAGTCCTAGGGCTTTTTCCTCAGGGGTTGCAGCCCTGTCTGTGTGGTTCAAAAACTGAGCCAAATCCATTCCTTGAAATTCAATTAAAGTGGGCTAACAATAAGTTCGACTGAATCATTGGCTCTTGACTACCGATTTACAAAATCAAAAGTAGTGATGATTTGCAAGAAGAGACCTGAGGGGATTCTGAGTAGTTAGCCCCGAGAAATTGTCGAGTTTTTCAATAAATCAAAATATTTAGCAGACAAATGAGCCCTCTTGATAAGTGAGCTTGCCCTAATTTATGTTCCTATCTTAAAGGCTCTTGAGTCGATACCAAATAAGTTAACCACAAGAAGTATCAGATAAGGTGCCATCAATTGTGGCAAAAGTGAATCTTCTATGTATCTCTCACGATATGTGTTAAAACTTATTTGACATGGAATCTAATGAAAATTGTACATCTTACAAATCATGGATTTGAGAATGATGTGTTCCTTTGATTCGAACATAGCCTGTCTTCGCTTTTGCTATATAAGAGAAGCATCAAACATTTTCTAGAGATTTTCCTCACAAATTCAACAATTTTCACTGGCAATAAATTAGTTCCATTTAAAAAAATGAAACATAATCGTAGTTCTTCAAATATTGCATCGGTGGTACATATTTTCCGAATTTGGCCATCGAAATATGAAATAACATGAACAACCAGGTAGTTCTTTTCAACATTTTTTTGTGATATCAATTTCCACATCTCAGTTAAAAAATCCTAGCGTGTGGGTATGTGATGCGTTTATCACAAGTCGTATCAGGAGATCACTTTAAAACAGGAAGAATAGATTGATTTTCACAAAAATATCCTTTATAATTTTACAAACTTTAACTGACAAAAAAATATTAATTTAGTTTAATTTGGGAGATTTAAAAATAATTATACTTTTTTATAAATAAAAATGAATTCTTTAAAATTAAACTAGTATCTGGGTGTGAACTTTCAAAATCTTTAGGTCTCAAATTTGAACAATGATTGGAAAAGAGTAATGTATCAACCAAAACGTACTCCTCTATATTATGTTCAAGAAGGGCTGTCGCAAAGAAAAGATATCACCATGTAAGGATTAGAGTTACTATATGGTTCCACTGAAAAATGATAAATGCATGGAGAAAAATAGAAAAATAAATCATCAATTATACATTAGAAAAATTTTTATTCTCAGTAAAAAAGAGATCGTACTTCCACATTACTGAAATGCCCGGGATTGAATTAAAATTTGTGGTGCTAAATTGATTATGAATTTAATTTTACTTATCATCATTGATCTCAATTAATTACATTTTACATCACAATTTCATTTTAAAAAGGTAAACAACATTCGTATTGTCTAAAAACAAGAGTAGGTATGATAAATGTATGTACAACATAATAAAATAACTTAAGAATTCTACGTAAAATTAATCACACTGGTTTTAAAAATTGGAAAATAAAAGTCGATGATACAAGACTGTCTTGAATTGGAGCTCATAGGTCTTCATCATCATCTGGCAATGCAGTTTCTTGGGCTTCCTGTAAACATTAATAATAAAAAAATTAAAGTTAGTTTCCGAAAAAAGTTTTACAAAAGGTAGTTCTGTTTTGTATGGTGCAAGGAGCTAGGATGAAAAAGTATCGTGGTTCTAATACGAGAAAGAGAAAAAAAACCCATGTTACACACTAACATCTTTCTTGCTGAAAATTATCTACCCAGTTGCAATACTGAAAAAACAAAACACACACACAAAAAAAAAGAAAAAAAAAACCTTTGAGAGAAAAATCTTCGTTTCTCTCGAAATTCTCAAAAATGCAGACAACTTAATCCTATTCAGGATTCTGGGTCCTGCAGGCCGATTGTTGAAATTTAAACCAGCCCGATAAGACATCGAATTGCGATATATTGCACGGTTAAGATAGGGCTATGTCTTGTCGTAAGCGGCGACATAGAGTCGATGACATTTCAATAATCGTCCTGCAGATCTTGAAGGGGGAGGGATTGTGGTGGAAACCCGAAAAGAAAAAAAATAAGGTCATCATTTCTAGGTAATTTGTTGTTAGTATCCTGGTAGCAAACTCGTAAATCCTACTCTGTGGAACATCAGTAATGAATTAAAGTAGATTGAATGAAGAATTTATGCATACAATTTTGATCTCTGGTATAAGGTAAGAAAAGAATATAACTATTATGATACATACCCTGAGATCTTTCTCAATCTGGGTCTGCCACTGAGGATCCATTACAACTTCAGGAGGTACAAGAGCAGGCATCGCTACAAATTCAAGGTTGGCATCCCCGATCAATTTTCTGGCCAGCCATAAAAATGGTTTCTCAAAGTTGTAATTGCTCTTGGCGCTGATGTCGTAGTACTGAAATCAAATTAAGTAAAGGTAATAATAGATAAAATACATGAAAGAAAAAATGTTTAATTTGTACTGTACAGTTGAAAGAGCTTTCTTTCAGAATGATTTTTTCAAAACTTTTTAGAGCTTGAGACAATTGTAATCTCATTACAATGTAGGTTATCATATGATGTCCCATGAGAAAAAGCAAGCATTATGGCTGACAGGACAAACAGTAATGGTGCTATTACTAAGTTAAGAAAAAGCATTGTGAAGTGAGTCAAAGTAATTTCAAGGGCATACATTAGTCTTCATATCCATAACCTCAAAAAGATATGGACTCTTGGAATGTTGTCATTCTAAGAAATAGGTACCTACCTAAATGTAACCATGAAGAAGAAAAAAAGGCCTTTGGTAAGAAATTATTGACGAATGATAAATAGCCTGATCTCATCTTCGAACATTAAAAAAAGTAACATTAAGTAACTTTGGTGGAACGCTGATAAACTTAGAGCGCCATTTAATAGATACCAGAGCAGAAGTCACGAATGTAATTCATAAATGAATTTTTTGCTCTTATTTCAAGAACTTACCTACTTACTTATTAATTAAATAAATCCAATTATATTAATTACCTGAAGATTTTTCTTCCGATGAAAAACTATACTTTTGGCCTTGACTTTTCGGTCTTTTATATCAACTTTGTTTCCGCAGAGAACAATTGGGATATTTTCACAAACACGAACAAGATCTCTATGCCAGTTTGGAACATTTTTGTACGTTACTCGTGATGTGACGTCAAACATGACGATAGCGCACTGACCCTGAAAAATACCCAAACAGAAAAATATTAGACAACTTCTACAGTGACACTTGCTTGAGAAATACTTAATGGAGTCGCCGTGGAATCGTTTTTAATTTATTTTTCGAAAACATGGATAAAATGAGAATGTCTGGATTTTCTTTTGTATATCAGTTGGGTTGAGAAAATGACTAGGGCTGTGCGAGTGCTCAGATTTCAAGATGAAGCAGCCAAGTTTGGAGTACCTACTCGACTCGGCTCGAAAATTACGTTACATTGGGGCGAGTGCTCAAACTCGGCTCGAGTGCCGATAACATGAGTTTTTTCGGGTACCTATTTTGAGCTTTTTTGAGCCCGAAACACCAAAAAAGTTCAACTCCTAAATCATTTAATTTAGGTATTCTATAAATATTTTTAGTTTTGACATCATTTTTTATGGTAAAATCACACGTTAAAACTCAAAATTACTCAAACTCAACTCAGCTAGAGAGTCATTTTCAAAGCTCTAAAAAGCTCAAACTCGGCTTGAAACAGTGAAAAAATACTCGAACCTAAAAAACTAGGCTTGCACAGCCCTGAAAATGACTCAAAGTCACCGAAAATTCAACCCCATTTGTAATGGTAAAATATTAAAAACAAACTTTCTGATATCCTATTGAGAATTGAATACGGTACACCCTTTCACTTGTGACGGATGACAGGAATTTGGATATACATGGTTGAGGGGTTATATACTTGTTTTTTGTGGATAGTCTAGTGCAGGAACACAAGTAGGAACGGCAAGCTGTGAGAGTAACTGAATGGAATTAGCCCTGGAGGGCTAGTTGAAGTAAAGAAAAATATTATATTTCCTTCGGACACTATACTAGAAAGCATGACTGCGCTCATGGCCATTTCTCTTGTTGCATGCAATGGTCCAGGCTTATACTCTGAAGACTTCTTGCTATCTATTTAATTTAAAAATGCGATGAAAGAGACCAGATTGGACACGGTAGAAGAGATAACATTACCTACTTTTCACATTAAAAAGGGTCAATGTAAAAGGACTTTAGGCTCTTGAAGAGTGCTACCGAGTTCGGCTAATTTCATTTATGCATTATAAGTAACATTAAGAGTCAAGATGGCATATTTTCTGTCTTACTCGAAAAATGCGTCAACATGTTTATAGGTAAGTAATGGATGATAATCATTGCATATCCATCTAAAACCTGGCGATCCAGCAAAAAAATGTCTTCAAATAAATTCTGGAAAAGACCTAATGGTACCTGAATGTAATAACCATCACGAAGACCGCCAAATTTCTCTTGTCCTGCTGTATCCCAAACATTGAATCGGATTGGGCCTCTGTTAGTGTGAAAAACCAGTGGATGAACTTCAACTCCTAGTGTTGCAACATACTTCTTTTCAAATTCACCAGTTAAGTGCCGTTTGACGAAAGTTGTTTTGCCTGTACCTCCGTCGCCAACAAGCACACACTTGAATGTTGGGATATCTTGTTGTGTCATTCTTCAGTGATTATTCCTGTTGACCTGCGAAAAAGTTCAAGAGGCTTCATTAATAACTCATCATGGCCTCATATTCCGCACTTAATTATGTTAGACTAGATCTGACAGGAATACAAGTGACGCTTGAGGAAGACTAGCTAAACCATTCGTTAAGTACTTCTATAAAAAGCTTTCATTATTCACAGCCTATCATAATTTTATGATCATCTTGTTCAGGTATCTGAGGGAAAATTTCAAACGAGCTAAATTAAAATTTGGAAGCTGACTTTACTAGGTAAGCTGTAAAAGGCATGTGCAACAATACTCTCGGTAAGAATCTACTCGTCTGTTGTTCACTTTGAGGCAAATTGATTGTACTTAACCCTCTAACATGTTTGCGCAAGAATTTTTGATTCCTCAATGTTTGCTACTTTTTGATAAATACACTAGTTTTGCATCTTCAGGTGACTGAACGAGCAATACTCTTAAAAATAGAGCAAGCAACTTCAGTAATTACACTTAGTATCATCACAGCGGGAGCTTAGAGCCACAGGTACCTCTGCCGCCTTCCCTAGTGCTCTAATCCATGGCCATGACAACCGGAATCATGTGATAGTCTGATTATATGATCATTCTATTGCAGTGAAAAGAACTAATCAATGAACAGGAATGCTGTAAGTGACAATGAAAATTCATCATTTCGAGGAAAAGAACTGTCAATTAACGAATATATTGGCGCCATTTGACAGACGTGACAACCGTTACGAAGTCCGGTCAAGGGCGTAGAATTGTAGGTTAGGATTGCTTAAAACTGAAAAAAGGATAGGTAAATTCAATAATCCATTTTTGATATGCAGTACACAGTTATTTAAATCTTAAATAGCAGATTCACTTGGCTTCGTGCGTTTAGATGGGAGGAAAATTGTATAAACTCGGGGACGTGTTGATCGGGTCTGTCATGTGTCTCGGCCGGCTTCCAATGGCGATCAAAAAACAAAAAAGTTCAAACTGTACTTGAGCTAACAGATGAAAAGGATTAGTCAGTTAAAAGCTTGAAAATAGCTTCTCTTACCCGCGTAAAAACAAATAAATTAATTTCAAAATCACACTTCTGTCGATGGAAACTTCGGCGCTGCCGTGATTCACCACTCTTTTCTCACAACTACACACACACACTGAGACAGAATACTTGACCCTACACACGCACACAAGTAAGAATACGCGCCATAAAAATAAAGCAAACAAGATTGAGCGAGGTTGTGAAATTTCATGAGTGTATGCTCAAATCTGTTTCGTGAAAAATTAGTGAAAAGTAATTAAAATAATGATTTCATGTAAATTCCAAGCTTTGAATTAAATAGGTGAATTTCTCAAGGCTAATTGGACGGAGTTAAACAGAAAGGAACCAAGCCACATCGAGATCGAACCGAGAAAAAGAGGTTTAAAGTTTGGCTCCTGCATAAGACTCAATGTAAAAGATAAACTTCAAGTTCAATTTCTGCAAAATTTGCTCCAACAAAATCTTTGAATTTTTGGCGATAGATAGTGGAGCAGTGGTTGAGTTCAAAATCACTCATAACTCAATTTTTTCCAAAATGTGGGTTGGTTCCTTTCTGCTTAACTCAGTCCAATTTACACTACTTTGAATGAATTCTACTTACATATCGACGGTGAAACTACCAAACCACGTATCTCGGTTTGCGACGTCGCAGACTTCCTGTCATACTTTATTTTTTAAATGAAAAACTGCTTGACATCTAGTCTTGAAAATTTCTGTGATTTTTCCTCTTTGTGCGGAGAAAATTCCGTGAAAATTTTAAGGAATGACATTGATTTGGTCTACTTCAAAAAAATAAAATGTGAGCGTAGATTTTTAAACACCGCAAACGAGATACGTGGTTTGGTTGTTTCACCGTCGATATATCGTCAGGTACCTACACAAAGTTTTGTACGTACCTGTAAGAAGTAAGTACCTATAAAAGAAACTTAATTATTTTTATGATTGATGCAGTAAAATCTATAACTCAAGATTTATATGTTTCCAAACTTGAAGTTGGAACGAAAAAATACCGCTAGATCAAATTCTATGCTCTCATTTTTTTCAGGTAGCTAATATATTTTTAAGTAGGGTCAAGAATAGTGTATTCTTGCGATGAATGCAGGCGATGCACTGTGCCGCACTGAAAAATACATTTACGATGTTGGGATGAGTTCTTCGTAAAAACTCCGAGATTCTGACTAATTCTGTCATTTTGACATTGTCACGTTTGAAATTGTCATGATACTTTGCCTTGAAGGGGGGAGGGGGGGATGGGGGTTAGCTAAATTTTGAATTTTTTCCTTGCAAATTTGTTGCGAAAAATTACTTGCAAAATAGACAACCTGACCGTACTTTTCAAGAAGAGAAACTCTTAATCAGCTTCCCAAGTTTGCGACTAAAAATTAGAATGCAGTCGAAAACTCCAGTCAAGTCCTTCATAAAAAATGCACCAGCCCCCTCCATGCCCCTGCAGATGTCAAGAATTTATTGAGTGAGGCTAATGAACGTTTCACCATATTCATTTCTGATTTGATATTTTTCATTTTAATCATCTACGATAAATTTCTAAGTTAAACCCGCAATTATAATTGCCCTATTTGCTCATTTTAAATTTTAATGAGATCAAGATTTGGACTTTTGGGTCATTTTCGAGTGCATTCTGCCCCTGCATACTCACAAACCACACAAAAGCGCGCCTTTACAGATCCCGAACAGTTCTGAAATAATCAAGACTTTGACTAGAAAGATTGTTGCGTTTTACATCCTATTGTTGGCTTAAAAAACTATTTTATAAATTTAATAAATAATGCTTAAAAGATTACTTAAAATAATAAGGAGATAACATCGAATTAATCTTTGAAACATAATTATTTCAGTTATTATAATGTTAGTACTCCTTTTGACTCAAGCAATGCAGCCGTCAACATACGTCATTCTACGTCATTGGGCTTGTAAATATTATTTACATTTCTAGGTTAAAATAATAATACGGTAGTCTTTCCCAGCTATCGCCGTGTTTTATCTGCCACGATACAATCAAAGGCCATCATATTCGGTTAATTCTTTCAATTATCAGTAGGATAATCGTTGCATTTCTTGCAGCTTGTGCTCTAAAAGTTGAAAAGTTGTCGCACATGGGCGCATGCGTCTTGCGGCCGACGGCAATGCAGAAATTATCGATTTGCACAGTCGCTCCGCGTTTGTGTTTGTGTTCGGGTGACTTGACGTGATGTTGTTTTTATCAAATTGAGTAAATGGGATTTTTGTGTGTGTTTCTATCAGTGTTCTTATAGTGAATTGTGACTCTAAAACATGACGAAGGATAGATTGGCTGCTCTGAAAGCGGTAAGTCCCGCCAGCCGGCCTTTATTGATATCCCTCAATCTACTCCTCCAACTACTTGACCTATCAGTCTGGGTAAACCTGCATTAATAGGTCCTTAAGTCACTCACTCGATGCTTAATTTCTCTCTTCGCCTGTCGCCTTTTTTGACCATTAATGTGTTTATATCCAAACGGATTTATAATTGTATTCAAAACTACCTCATGACTAGGTCAAACCCTATTTCAAAATTTCCTTTCGCAGTCAAATTGTTGGGCTGCAGTCAGTAAGTCTGCATCTAAGGGGAAGTTGATATTCATCTTTTTGGCCTCAGAGAAAATTGACAGTCTCCTGTAGCAGTCATGAATTATTATTTACCCTTCTAATATTATTCAGCAGTTTTTAGCGATTATAATTTTAACCTCCTTAAGTTTCGTGTATATTCCCGACTCAGTTTGCTACAGGTTGTTGATGGAAAATGTATTCATCATCGGCTTCATGAACAGACTACTTAGCATTCCTTGCTTTGTATAGATAGTCCTACACCCAATTTTCAGCGTTATTTCTTTTTCTATATTTTACTAGCTGATGCTCTTTTTTGGAACCACCTGACAGAATTGCAACTGTAATTTAACGTCATTGAAACATTTACTATCTTCTGTCATAGCATGCCATTCTTTCAAGAATTAAAAATTTTGTAAGCTACCAAAAATATTTACCTAAGTTTATATAGTACCTCAAATTTTTGCGCCTTGAAAGGAAATAACTCATCTAACCTAGTAATGAAAAATGGGGGGAAAATAAATTTATTTTCCTCACCTACTTATCACATTTGTATTGACGTGAGTAAATTCGGTATAAAGCAATACTGGAGGAAGAGGTTACAAGTTGGTCTTTTATTTTTCAAGTGGCACTGATGTAAGTCTAGGTACGTACCCTAATTTGAAAACACATTGAAAATACTTTAGATATTTCAACGGTACAACTATCATCATCAGGTGTAAAAAATTGTATCAAAACGCAACGGCACAGAGGGAAACTTCTGATCGTATGGGCCATAAAGTCTGATAGGGCTCAGGTCTAATCATTTTGCCATTTTGATCGAAAATTTTAAATCATGAAAATTTGCTTATCCTTGCAGCTATGCTTATTTGGAGACTCAACCGTATGAGGAAAAAAAACTTAGAAAAATGTGAAATGTAAGGGAGGGGGGAGATCTTTGTAGTGCAAGACTCTCAGTGGGTGGCAAATGTACTTACTTGTCCCTGAATCCAGTCCTGTCATCAATTTATAATTATTATTAGAAACAGGGCTGACTATATAATCTGGAATTTTAAATGATGTGACTCTGTTGGAAATAACCAGAGCCTGTCTTTTCTAACATACTGAACAGAAATTGAAAATTGGGGAAAACAGTTTTACAAATCCATATTTCATTCTTACTGAAAATTAAATGTATCTCTCATTGCTTACGAACCGACAGTGCTACTTACTTTACCAGGGTCATTCCATACCAAATCAACCAAAAATCTGGCAAAATTTTCATGACCATCAAAAATCCGTGGAATTACCCATTTGCATGCACCGAAAATGAGCTAAAATTGTATTCAAAAATGAGAAAAAAATAGTTTCCATCAAGTCTCCAACTTGAAAATTTCACAGAACCTTCCTGAGGGTCTGCTGTACAAAATATGAAAATTTGACAAAAATCGAAGGGGGGGTGTTTTTTGCTACAGCCCCCCAAAGGTTTAAATTGGGGGGAACAGGCACCCCTTTTTTCAAAAATGACATAATTCATTCATTTTTCAATAGAGCAGATAAACAGCTTCAAAACAAGCTCAAGCTGAGCCCTGTAGCTTAATTAGAACCCGAGTTATGATTTTTTGAAATTCAAGGGGTTCACAGCCCCGGGGNTATCCAAACGGATTTATAATTGTATTCAAAACTACTTCATGACTAGGTCAAACCGTATTTCAAAATTTCCTTTCGCAGTCAAATTGTTGGGCTGCAGTCAGCAAGTCTGCATCTAGGGGGAAGTTGATATTCATCTTTTTGGCCTCAGAGAAAATTGACAATCTCCTCTAGCAGTCATGAATTATAATTTACCCTTCTAATATTATTTAGCAGTTTTTAGCGATTATAATTTTAACCTCTTTAAGTTTCGTGTATATTCCCGACTCAGTTTGCTACAGGTTGTTGATGGAAAATGTATTCATCATCGGCTTCATGAACAGACTACTTAGCATTCCTTGCTTCGTAAAGATAGTCCTACACCCAATTTTCCTTTCTTTCCAACGTTCCTTTCTTTTTCTATATTTCACTAGCTGATGCTCTTTTTTGGAACCATCTGACAGAATTGCAACTGTAATTTAACGTCATTGAAACATTTACTATGTTCTGTCATAACATGCCATTCTTTCAAAAATTAAAACTTTTATAAGCTACTATAAATATTTACATCAGTTTATATACTACTTGAAATTTTTGCACCTTGAAAGAAAATAACTTATATAACCTAGTAATGAAAAATGGGGGGAAAATGAATTTATTTTCCTCACCTACTTATCACATTCGTATTGACGTGAGTAAATTCGGTATAAAGCAATAGTAAAGGAAGAGGTTACAAGTTGGTCTTCTCTTTTTCAAGTGGCACTGATGTAGGTCTAGGTACGCACCCTAATTTGAAAACACATTGAAAATACTTTAGCTATTTCTATGGTAGAACCATCACCATCAGGTGTAAAAAATTGTATCAAAACGCAATGACACAGAGGGAAACTTCTGATCGAATGGGCCATAAAGTCTGATAGGGCTCAGGTCTAATCATTTTGCCATTTTAATCAAAAATTTTAAATTATGAAAATGTGCTTATCCTTGCAGCTAAATATGCTTATTTGGAGACTCAGCCATGTGAGGAAAGAAAACTTTAAAAAAATGTGTAATGGGAGGGAGGGGGGAGATCTTTGTAGTGCAAGACTCTCAGTGGGTGGCAAATGTACTTACCTGTCCCTGAATCCAGTCCTGTCATCAATTTATACTTAACTATTATTTGAAACAAGGCTGACTCTAATCTGGAATTTTAAATGATGTGACTCTGTCGGAAATAACCAGAGCCTGTCTTTTCCAACATACTGAACAGAAATTGAAAATCAGAGAAAACGGTTTTACAAATCCATATTTCATTCTTACTGAAAAATTAAATGTATCTCTCGTTGCTTACGAACCGACAGTCCTACTTACTTTATCAGTCACATTTTTGAAGGAGCCAAACTTTCAGGTCGATTGTAGAAACTCTTGATGCTGTTGTGTTTCAGCAATATTTGAGTAAAATAAACAATTTCAGTCACTTCTATAATGGCAGTACCTACGTAGCACTTGTTCCTCTTTTTGTCCCAATCAATTTATTGATGACCAAATTCTGATGTCACACACGAGCAGTTGTGAGATTGCCAATTGCATCCCCTTATATATGTATGTTTTTTCCTCCAAACCCTAAGCGTATTGCACCTTTTTTATTAAGCAACAGAAAAATAAAGAGATTCTGATCATAAATGCCTTCTGTACTATTAGTTATTCATATTTTGATTCAGTTTCTTTAGTTGCATAGAAAAATCAAATATTAAAGTTCTTGTTATAGAGGTAACCTCTCAAAGGTAATGGTTACAGTTGCTCATGAAACCGGGTTAACATAAATAATATTAAAAGTTTGAATAAACTCAACTGTTAAACTAAAAAACTATTTGATATAACAGAAAATCCATCTAGTGACGCCAGGACCAATATTTACTAATTTGTCGTGGTACCTAAGGTAAAAAACCTTATGAACTGGCAGGTTTCTTTCTCAATAAATATTTATTTTTAGGTAGTTCATAAATATTTTCCCCCGAAAGTCGCAGGCACTTCACTTTTAACTTCGAAAAAATTTCAACGAAAAATTGGAGGAAAAATACCTGTTCACAAGTCTTCCTGAAAATTCGCGTTTCGTCGAAGGAAATTTGGCAACGTCTGAATGCAGCGCTCTTCCTCACTGTATTGTTCTGTTCTCAACGACTTTATGTCAGCACATTACTTACGTGTAGTTAGATTTTTTGCAAGTGACATCGGCAAAGAATTTTGAAAATCTCGATCAAATCCATGTCTTAAGGTCGATAGCGTCGAATCTAGCTCATTTTTCCCCATGGTACCTACGATAAGACCGCGTTAAGCAGAAAGGAACCAAGCCACATCAGTCATTGCCAAATTTGACTGGACAATTTAATTTTTTACATGGCAACGGTTGTGCGGATTTTTGTGCAAATTTCAGTGAATTTTCTGCACAGTGTGAAGTAAATTCTTTAAAGTTTTCGAAGGGATCCGCACGAATGTTCTCTAGTAAAAAATTAAATTGCTCAGTTAAAGTTGGCATCGACCGATGTGGCTTGGTTCCTTTCGGCTAAACGTGCTCCAATTGGACTACATTTTGCAATTTGGAACTATAAATTCTAGCTCGGTTTAAAAACAACGTAAGTGCCATTAGTTTCCCTATGCACATAAGTGTATTTTCAGAAGAGCCAGAATTTATAAATCCAAATTGCAAAATTCAGTCCAATTAGTCCGCGTATCGGTGAAATAGGTGCATTTAGGTGACTTTCTCCTGTGCAAAATTGCGCTAAGTAGAGGGGCGCTCTCTTGGAAGGTAACATCAAACTCCGAATTTGAGAACGAGGTACCCTGATTTTGGGTGAAGGGGGAGGGGGGGAAAAAAGGTTCGGTAATCGGATTCCGCACCCTCTAACTTGTTTCATCCTTTAATTAATTTAACTCGACGACTGTCCCAATTTTATAATTATTACTCTTTTATGTTGGTTTCTTTTTGCTTTCTGATTATTGTTCCAATAATCATCTGGTTTGGCTGAAGTGACAAAAATAATGGTTCGGCCACACCTATTTCTCGTTTCCTGTCAATGTTCTTTTTAAATTTGAATTTTGTGTCTTAAATTTATCTTCCTAACTTTTCCCTTCCTCAACCTAACCTAGCCCGAAGC